GTACTTGTAGTGCTGGGTGTGATGAACTGAAATATATTGATTGAGATGGACGGAGTACAGAAAACTAGTACTCCTTCTGGACTTATAATTATACATTTTGATTTGTCTTAAATTTAATTTAATATATTTTTTTAATAAAAATAAAATAAAACTTTAAATATATTTTATCGTAATTGAAAGAACACAATAAATGTGAAAATACATTTTCACGATTTTAGTTTCAATTAAAAGAACATACTAAATGAAAATTAAGAGAAATTTCAAAATATCTTATAATAAGAACCAAAAGAGTAATTAACACTTTCTTTTTCAGTTTCACGACGGACAATAAAAATCGGAACAAGAACCACTTGTATGAAATCCTATCTTAATCAAAGTTGTGTCGTGTTTTTCTTCAAAAAGAAAAAAAAAAAAGAAAGAAAAGTTGTGTCGTATTTATATGTTGTTTTCACCATGTAATAAAATATATCCACTAAAAAATCTTTAGTCAAAATTATTCAATTATTTCGTCAGTTGCCGAACTAAACGAATAGTCTACGCCAAAATAATTTTATTGCTAGACACTTTCATTGCGTACATCTGGCATAATCGTCGGTGCACAATCCTTGATCAACTTGCAATAATCCATTTGATCATTACAAATCTACGATAGAGTTGGAATATATAATCCTACATCGGCTGCTTGCAGTGTAAGCCGCCAATGTGGCTGATTTGTGCCGATTACAAAAGTTCAAGTAGCTGATCTAATTCAAAAATTAAACGCTTAATTATCCAAAAAATCCTATAACTTGGGGTGTTATATTCGTTTGGTCCTAATTGACCAATATCGTATTTGTTAGGTCCCATAACTTGTAAAATTGCTCTTTTTTAAGTTTCCATCCGTTGACCGTTTAGAAGTTCACGGTCAACAATTCAAACATTGCTTTTCATAAGGGTATTTTGTCCATCTATTAAATTTATTATTATTTCTTCGTTCTTTCAATTTTTAACATTTGGGCCAACTCCCCTGTACCATCTTCCTCGTTTCCTCATCTTTCTACCCCTCCACCACCACCACCTCCACATTTCACCACATTTTCATTTCTTCCCCATCGAAATACAAGCAAATCACCATTTCAATCACCTACTCATCTTCCTCTTTATAAGGGCTATCATCTTCAACTCACCACCACAATCATCTTCTTCCTGAAACCCATCATAATTGCATTTCAAACCGAGCCACATCATCCCCCCCCCCCAATTCAATCCCTTGACAGTTGACACCGTAGCCCCATACCGTAAATCACCATAGATTCCCAAAGCCACATTTTTTTTAATTTCATAGTTAAATCTTAAATAATTCATTGATCTAAACTTCGCAAATTTGGGTTACTCAGTACCAGATATATGTACTTTTAGAGTCAGTGTCATGTTTCAAATGGAGGTTGTGGGAGAAGTGTAAGCCCGTAATTTTTCAATCAATTTTGTTGCTCCGATGAAAAAGATGATTCCTGCGTTTGTCTTTCTTAGGCTGAAATCGGAGGATTGTGTGAGTTTTAGAATTGGAAGGAGATGGTTGGAGCTGGAGAAACATGTTTGTAATTTTTTAATTTTTGGAATATTTACAATTTTTATAGTTAAAATAATGATAGTATTAAACAGTGATAATAATTCAAATTAAATCTTAGAAACAATTTATTCAGGAAGAAATAAATGAAAATAGAAGTGTATAAAGATGAAAATTTTGAAGTAATTTTTAAAAAGGTATTGAACTAAATAAAGTGAGTAAAATGAAATTAAATTTTTAAAAGCAATTGAATTACAATAAAGGGAGAAAAATAAATAAATGTTCTAAGAACCAAAACAAAATTTCAGGACAAAAATAACCTTATGACTTGAGTTTGACCGTTTGTTTGTTAATGGTCAACTGACGGAAAAGTAAAAAGGAAGTTATAAGACTTGACAAATACAATTTTGATCAACTAGGACCAAATGAATATAGCACCCCAAGTTATGGGATTTTTTGGATAATTAAACGAAAATTAAATCATTTCATAAAATACAAAAGCAAAAATTATTTGTTGGTTATTATGTGATAAGCAGATGACGCAGTAATTATTTCACACTTTTTTAATTTTAAAAAATGTAAAAGTTAATATAGTGTTTGTGAGTAAATAATTAATCTCACAATTGGATGTGACAATGAACGAAATCTGTTCCTGAATTATATACTTGTGAGGTAACAACTAATAAAAATCATGACATGAGTAATTTTCTCATCTAAAAGATGAAATCAAAATTAATTCAACGCCTACCTTGAATGTATTTAAATTAATTTTCTTCGGGAAAGAGTTATGATCCCTTGAAAACATGAAAATATAAATCTTCGATATCCTTCTCAATTTTGTTTTTTATTTTAAAAAAGTGCAGAAAGAGTTTCCCTACCGCAATTCTTTCCCATCCATGTCAATTATGTTTTTGTGAAGAAACTAAACATATGTTATCAAATGAAATATTTATCAAAGATTAATATACAGGGGAAAGAAAATCTTACATATACACACTACAGCATGACTGTTCGTATCTATTAAGTTTATTTTTTTGGATCTAATCAAATCATTCATCAAATATAAAGATTAACTTTTAGGCTCGTTTTAAATGCAAGTAGAAAATTATAGTTATAACGATGTCTTTTCTCTCTGAGTATGCTCTTCTACTTGTGTGTAAATGTAAAGCTTTCGATAGGAAAAGGAAATGAGGCTGCTGTTGATATGGTCTAAAACTTATTTCATTTGTTAAAGTGAAGTAGTGCAACAACTAGGAATCTCATTTAAAAACGGAGAATAATTCTGATACACAATTAAGCTGAACTCAAATAGTATTATTTTCGTACATTCTAAACTTCAAATTCGTGTAACGTTTTCTTTTATTTATTTTTTTGTAACTGCATCCTTGATCTTTTATGATGGTAATAATTAATAATCTGTTAAAAAACGTAAATAATTTTTAAAATATCATCTTATGCAAAACTGATATTGTAATTTAGACACTGCGAGTATGAGACAAAATGAAACACAAGCAGTCTTGGATTTTTAGTCACGGGTTACCAGCTCCTGGATGCCGGCCTGTTGCAACATTACATAGAAAAATACTCCTAATTAAGTCTAGAAAAATAAACACTAGAAATGAAAATTTTGTTTTAGGGACAAAAAAGAGTAAATTCGGTTGAGAAATGGGGTTTTTTTTTTTTTTGACAAAATGTCGTATTTTAATGTTACATGAATTATTAGCCATCAAATTTTCAAGGACTGTTTTGGATAATATTTACGTGACATCTTATAATTCAATATATATGTGTTTTTTCAGTTAATAGTTACTTTTTCTGTTTTAGAAAATACTCCACATCGACTTTTGAGTTTTGTACTTTTGCAGAACAAATTTAAAAATTATATGTCGACATTTTTCTTGAGACAGAGGTAATATATTATAATTAGGTGCTTGTTCGGGCGTTGCCTGACCCATTTACAACAATACATTTTAAAATTAAATATACAAATGGTAAAAATATTTTTCAACTTTAACTCAACTTGTATGTTTAAATTTTGGAAATAATAAAAAAAATCATTTATTATATCATTAATGCCTTATTTTATTAATTTTAATTAATTGATTATAATTAAGGACAAGGAAAGTTAACACAATTAAAGGTTGTAAGAATCAAATTATTTTACAAAACTACGTAGTTTTTGTTGGGTGGGAAATGGATAAATGAGAACGCGACACGTCAGCCTTTTTTTTTTTCTCTTGGATTATTATTTTAATATGATATATAGAATATATAGATTACGAAATGGCAATGATTTATTTGCAATACAAAATGTACAGTAATCATTAGAAAGAAATGCAATATTAAAAGTGTCACTAATTTTGGACAATTAATATTATGGATCTCCAAGGTTAACCTCTTTACTTCACAACAATTACAGTAGATTCATCAAATCATAACTCGCTATCATTTCTTAATTTTAACGAATTGGAAAATACTAATATATTTGTATTGAAAGGAGATATTGACTCTATAAAATATAATAATCTCTTATTATATTAGTATTAGGTTATTAAAAGAGTGTTTAGATTTTTATATTTTATTTTAAATAATTATATCATTATTTTTCACAGTAAATAATCACTACCAAAAAGTGATAGCAACGTATAATGAACATACTATACACAAATGAACGATTTGTTGATGTTCTTGTAACATTTTCTTTTACTTTTTGGGTGTACTTGATCATAAATAACTAAATAAGTAGCAGCTGTAACTTGATAATCTCAATTTATTAGTCAACGTTTGTCTAATCTATCCATTTACTCCAAAATCTTTTCTCATTAAATTAAATTATAATGATTTTTTCCGATCAAAACGTACCGTTAATCTTTTTTGTCCTTTCCCACACCAAATCACATCCTTCCAAAACCATTTAATTAAAAGAAAAAAATAATTATCCCCACTTGGATTCATTCCAAAGTTTTCCATTTTTAAAACCTTATAAAATAAACCAAAATGCCCAAGAAAACCGTGATATGCGGGCATCCTTATATGATAACCCAAAAAAAGAGGGGTTGACTTTGTAATTTATTATGGAGTACTAGTAAATGACGCAACATACGGATTTGTACGTTTCCGACCAACAATCCCGAAAGTCCAAACGTCGTCGTCATTTATCCCTTCTTCCTCCTCTTCTTCTTCCATTAGTACTACTAATAACTACTTTGCTTTTCTCATCCGTACGTCCTTTTTTTTATTCCTTCTGCCTTTGGCGTTTTCCTCGGATTACCTTTATTTATTCCCCCCTATCTCCCCAACGAACTTCCTCAAACTCAGCCACTGTGTGTGTGCGTGATTAGTTTCTTCCCATTTTTCTCTGCTTTGTTTTTCTTCGTTGAACAATATTAATACAATAACTCTTTTCTCTCTCGCTCTCTGTCTGGGAGGCGAATAGGATTTATAATAATTAAAGATGTTGTACGAAGAGCAACCTCAATTGACGACGCCGGCGACGGCGGCAGCGGCGGCGATGAGGATGGATAAGAATAAGAAGAAGAATAGATTAGAGGGGAAAAGGGGAGGAGGAGGAGGAGGAGTGTTGGAGGAAGAAACGCTTCAGATGGTGGATTTGAGTGGGATGTCTTTGGACACTTTGCCTAATCCTTCTATTAATCTTGGTGTCATCTGTAGATTAGATCTTTCCAATAACAATCTCCAGGTACACAAAAAAACTTTCTTTTCTTTTTTATCTTCTTTTTCTTTTGGGGTTGTTTTTGTTTCATTTTATCTTCTTTTTTTTTTCTTCCCTTTAGAATTTGTGTTTATCATCTTTGACTTGGGTGAATTTCTGTTCATTTTGATGAATCTTTTTGGTGGTAACACCGTTGAAGAAGAAAAAATGGAAGAAATTGACCTTGTTGAATGGTGGAGAAAATTTTTAGCTTTGACCTTCTAGCTAGATGTATGCTCTTTTCTTTCCTTTCTTTTTTTTTTTCCTTTTTTGTGAATAATAAAAAATTTTAAATTTTCTAAATAGTTTTTGTTGCTTTTTATTTGTTTCTTTTGAGTGATGCACTAGTTGCAATTTTTTTTCTTATGGCTTTCTCTCATCTTATTATGCTAGGTTGATATCTTGGCTTCTCATTCTAAGGATTTAATGTGAGGCATTGATGAACTAATTCTTGAAAGAACAAAGAAAAATTATCACGAAATGGGAAACACAAGAAAGCTTTACGTACAATTGGATAAGCACTCCTTAAATTCTTAATTTAATCTTGTTAGAGAAGTGGATAATAATTTATAGCTTCCTAGAATATAGTTCTGAATGAGCCAAACATTTCACACTATTTGCTTACATAAGGAAAAATATGTTGACTTCATCGTTTGAATGACCTACTTCATTTTGTTTTACTGTAATCATTTTACTAGCTTCTTTACCCCTATTTTTCTTTTATTTAATACTCCATCCGTCATGAAATTATTGTCTAGTTTGGATTTTTATTTTCAGTACAAATTAAACTAAAAGTGAAAACTAAACTTGACAATAATTTTAGTACAAACTACAGAGGGAGTACAAACAAGATTTGCATTCTAGACCTAATGGTTACAATCTACTACCATTACTAGTAAAAAAACTGATGTTATTACTTTAGAAAACATTAGTTTTGTAGCTTAAAGTATCTTTTCATAGTTACATTATTAAGTGAAACTAGCTTTTAGTTCTTAGGATAATCTTGTTTTTTAGAAAAAAGATCGCTTGTTCTTGATGGTCATCGAATTTTATTTTGTTAATTTTCTACGGTTTGATTTGATATGCAGAGCATACCAGAGTCTTTGACAGCAAGATTGCTAAACGTGGTGGCTTTAGATGTTCACTCAAATCAGCTCAAATCTCTTCCAAACTCAATTGGTTGTTTGTCAAAGCTCAAGACGTTGAACGTTTCTGGAAATCTCATCCAATCTCTCCCCAAAACTATTGAAAATTGCAGGTTAGTTTTAGCCACCGCACCCTTTGAATTTATTGATTTATTTATTCGGTATATTTAAGCTTTTAAGAACAATAATACAGCTGGATAGGATAGTAGTACATGATTTCAAATCTGTAAGGAGGGAATATTGGTTCCAGTTAATCATTACAAGTTTACAACCAGACCTTTTTGAATCAACGGATCGATGCTGGATGATTTCAACAAATTAATAAAAATATGTTTTCGTAATAACTATTAAAAAAATGAAAAATGAAATTTTCTTTGTTTCGTTGAGGTTCATTTCTAAACATTTTGTTTTTTTTTAATAAGAATTTCAGAATGATGTATTTCATCTTGCAATCACGTAGGATGACCAACCACCTAAATGATGATAATCTTAATATGTCTATACGAAGAGACGATTTTGACAATTTGTAATTGACCAGTGATCCAAATCCAATAAAGATTCTTGTTAACGACTCCCTCAATAATTAAGGCGGCTTTGACTATAAAAGGCAGCGCGGTTCATATTTATAAGACACAATTTTGAAAAAAAAAAAAAATTCATTTATAATTGTATTTCATAAATAAGACCGTAGTTAAAAAGGAAAAGCAACCGAGTTAAGATATCTGTATTCAGCTCCCTTTCTTAAATTCACAAATCGTGAAAGCGCAGCGGTCAAAGTTCGCACGTACAACTGTTTTTCTGAGTTAGAAGACAAAATGTTTCTCTTCGATTACAAAATTATTGTTGAATATTGGAATTATAAGAAACATTTTATTCAATAAAAATTCAAATTTTAAGTAAAGTCAATGGTGTAGCTATAGTGTATTAGGTGGTGCCTGTTTGTCAGGCTCTAAACTTCGCTGTCACAAGAGCAAAATTTATTAATTTCAAGGCGTTGACGTAAAACATCGAGCACTCAACTAATATTGTTGTTGCCTAGTTGCTGATTGGGGGGTTTTTTGTTTTTTCACAAGAATGCATGTATCACCGTTATATTTCAAATTAATCCTTGAGCCGTATTCTCCAAAATTTTTTACGTCATCTTAATTTCCCTCTCGCATCTTTGATTTAAATTTTCTTGGTTATCTGACAAAGGTTTTTATAATTTTTACAATTTCTAATCAACTTCTTGTGTCTAGTGTTTTTGCATCAAACTTTAATGTAATTGACCTAAAATGTTTTCTATTAATGACCTTACGTTTGTGTTAATTTTAATCACAATTTCTTTCTTACTAAAATGGCAGGTCACTTGAAGAACTGAATGCAAATTTCAATAAGATCAGTCATCTGCCAGACACCATAGGTTTCGAACTAATTAACCTTAAAAAGCTTTCCGTCAATTCCAACAAGTTAATGTTCCTCCCTCACTCCACTTCCCATTTAACCAACCTCCGAGTTCTTGATGCCAGACTAAACTGCCTTAGATCACTCCCACAAGATCTGGAAAACCTAATCAGCCTTGAAATCCTAAGCGTCAGCCAGAACTTTCAATACCTCGAAACCTTGCCGTATTCCATAGGCCTCCTCTTCTCCCTCGTTGAATTAGACGTGAGTTACAACAAGATCACGGCATTGCCAGAGTCGATCGGGTGCCTGAAGAAGCTTCAGAAGCTTAGTGTCGAAGGGAATCCGCTCGTTTCGCCTCCTGTCGAGATCATGGAGCAAGGGTTACATGTGGTGAAACACTATTTGTGTGAGAAGATTAATGGGAAACACACCATTTCACCAAAGAAGAGCTCATGGTTTGGGAAATTTGCTAGGTGTAGCACTTTCAATGGTGCAAATATTCCAAGGGATGATAGAGATGAATATGACATTTCCAATGAGAGATCATCATTTGATGGCATTTCTTCCCCTAGATCATTGGGCATGTTTTCTCCAAGGAGGCTCTTATCACCAAAATCCTACTTCTCAAGGTGATTATTTCATGATTCGATCGACAACGTGATGGGAAACGCTTTTGATACGGTGTAATTTTTGTAGATAGCGTGTCCATATGTCTGTAGTTGATGGCTGTAAAAATATGGTGAGTGTAAATTACTCCCTCCATTCACAAATAGATATCGTTGAAGGTAAAACCAAATATTCCAAAATAGATGTCGTTCTCACAAAAATCGAGGCATATTTTGTTAATTTTTTCCAATATTACCCTTACATGGAAAATTATAGTGATGGTTAATATAGAATTGTATTAGAACTGAATTTTATTGGAATTATAATTGAATTAAGAATAAATGGGAGTATTGTAGTATTTAACAAGATAATTATTGCATCCTTAAACTTTGTGAAATCTCTCCAGCGACATCTATTTGTGAATGGAGGGAGTACTTAGATTCTTAATTTTGGTTTTGAGGAGTGCAACTAAGTTGTATTTGAAATATCTTGTGCTTCTGCTTCTTTCCTTTTTTGTGTCTTTTTTCACTGGGGCTTTTCCATGGAGATGTAATTAATTTGATTGCTCCCTGCATATATGTAAGCACATTCATGATAGGGTACAAATTTGTAAGTTTTGAATAATAACAAATGTAAGTGCCAGTTTTCTTTTTATTGAAAGTTGCGATTTCATTAGCAAAGAAGCAAACATTACAAAGTACACGACTGCAAACTTGCGCTAGCTAGTCTATGCGCATTTTCAACAACTGTTCTTTCTACCTTCCCAAATATACATAAAAGTAAAACTATGCTTTAAGGCTACAAGATCCTCTTCTAATCCTTGAAGAGTAGAAGAAAGTTTATGGGATTCCACATTTATGTTACTCTTTTCTTTTCTGTTTTGTTTTGTTTTATTTTTTCACAATGAATGAGACAAAATTTTAGAATACTGATCTATACATTATTTACATTATGGGTAAAATCTGGGATTGTGCAAAAGCCACTGAGAAACACTGGGATTACTATTACAGAGAATAAGAAATCATGCGCTGCTGGTTTGTTGAATTGGAGCCGTGCAGAAATTAGGAACATTAAGAAATGTTAAAATGAAGGAAAAAGGCTCAAGTTTCCTTGTGTCACATGAAAAGATTAAAATATACAATTGAAAATAACATATAGATCTCATATATTACTCTTTTTATTATCAATTAGTTTTGAGGTGCAACTACATGTGAGTTTATGAGGTCTTTAAGAAAAAACACAATGAATAGATGAAAAAAATATATTCAGGATTGATAGCTGATAGTGGTTAATTTGTTACACAAAAACATTACCATTTACTCTGAATTTAATGAAAAATGAGGGGCGATTCTTTGAATAAGTTGATATTACTTAACTAGTTTTCATGTTTTTGCATAAGAAGGGACCTGAGTGAAGAAATGCTGAAAAAGGAGGGCTACTGAGACAAAAACGAGCTGATGAATTCAAATTCTGCTGAGTTGGTCAGGGACATCTTCTACACACAATTAATGAAGTTGTCTGTCCTAACCCAAGGGCATTCTTGTCCCCTTGGCCGACAAACCAACCTCCCAAGCTGATCAATGCCACAGCTGATGCCACTTCTGGAAGGAGAGCAAAAGACCAGTCCAAGATACAAGACATTGGGGTGAATAAAAAATACATAGGCATGGGGAGGTGCTCTTGGAAGAAGAACCGACATCCAGCAGTATAAAAGGGGAGATGCGTACACAGAACAATCATCTCTAGCTACACCTTTTCAATTGCCAAGAACACACAGAAAAACTCCAGAAGAAGACAAAAAGGAAGCAAGAACAGCAACAACTCAGTAAGGAAGCCAAGTTGAACAACAACCATCTCAGCCACTGCTTCAGTCCCCTGAGTGAATCCTGTCACTCCCAGGAGTGACCTCTGAACTGCATAAGCTGTCTTCTTCTCATAAATTGTTAGCTTGTATTTCATTTCATTGATGCATACTTCTATGATGTCTGTTGAAGTAGTGGTTGTAGCATGAACCAGTATGAGTAGCTAAACTGCTTCCAGGGGTTAATCTCCTCAACCTATGTTGTAGTTTTTGTGATCTACTGGTTCTGTTCTTTTTTTGAAGTTGAAAGTATTTCTACATTCAATTACTTGATCTCTAATTGAATGCATGCTAGAACTAAAGGAAATCTGGGAAGATAAACTTGGTTCGGTCTGTTTCAACTTTAACTTGTGTCATAGAGGTAACAATTTATGGTTTTAACTAAGATAGGAATATACTTAGTTAACATGAGCATTCATATAAACCATAGCTCTTAATGATTTTATAACTGGACTCAATCGTTGAAAAATAGATTGTTAAAGTTACAAAGATGACTCTAGGAAAAACGGAAACTGACTTGGAGTTAATTCTGAGCTGAATGAACAAGAACTTAACCATTTAAGTGCAAATTACAACTGCTGCAACAGGAAGAGGAGATGAACACCCCTGGACCGTACTCCCCTGAGTGAACGTTTCCATTTCCCTGAGTGACCCTTGCTTGAACTGGTAGTCTTTTAACAACAAATTTGGGAATTTAGCTGTCCCTGTGGGAACGACCTAGCTTCCATTATCTACAAATCCATAATCCAGCTAGTATTATTTTTGGTGAACTCGGCACCCACCAGAAAGTGGCGCCGTTGCCGAGGACGGCGTAAAACCTCCATTATTTTTTGTTGTTATTCCCTCTATAATAATTAATCTTTCTGTGGTAACTCACCTGAGCTTCTAATTTGTCTTCTTTGGTGTATGACTAGAAGGCACCAACGAAGTGAACCCGTTTTTGATCCAGAAATTGAAGCTACTATGCGTAGAGCCAGAGCAGCAAAAAGAAGGCAAGATCGGTTGCAACAGAACCGCGAAGAAGGTTCATCAGAAATGGCTAACCAAGGTGGTAACCCGGAGAACAATAGGAACCCTGGTGGAGATCAACAAAATTGACCAGAGAGATTGCTCAGAGATTTCTTTATTCCACAACAAGAAGAAGTCCAATCCCCTTTAATGTTCCCCGATGTATAGGCAACCAATTTTTGGTTGAAACCACAGATGATCCAATGGACTCAGTCAGCCTGCCCGTTCCATGGATTACCTCATGAAGATCCTAATGATCATATCAGAAGTTTCTTACGTTTATGCAGTACTTTTAAGATTCAAGGCTTATCCAATGATGACATTAGACTGAGGTTATTCCCTTTTACTTTGCAGGATCACGCCCAACCATGGTTCAATACATTGCCCAACAATTCTATCTCCACTTGGGAAGAGTTAAGACAATGCTTCCTTACAAAATTCTTTCCAATTGCAAAAGCTGCACAACTCAGAACAACAATAATGAATTTCAAGTAGCATGGAACTGAAACACTCTATGAAGCATCGGAAAGACTGAAGGAAATGATCAGGCAATGCCCTAAGCATGGTTTGGAAGAGCACCTCCAAATGAGCATCTTCTGCAATGGTTTGCTACCCAATCACAAGAGACTCCCTTGATGCTGCAGCTGGTGGTGTGTTTATGATAAAGCCGGTTGATGCAGCAAGGTAGTTGCTTTACAATATGACCACCAATCAATTAAGGTGGCAATCTGATCCAAGGGCAAGTACAAAACAGTCAGGAGTGATGGAACTTGACCCCAGTACACACCTGCAAGCACAAATGGCTGTTATGATGAATAAAATGACAAAACTAAGGAGTGAATTGTCCAAATCCAAGGCTGAAGTGTGTGTGTGTTATGTGATGGATCTCACAATTGGATGACTGTCCTTCCAAAATGGAAGCTGTCCAGTTTGTCAAGCAGGGCAATGCTGGAGGATTCAACAACTTCAACAATTGGAGAAATTAGCAGCATCCTAACTGGAATAATGCACCACAACAAGGGAACTATCAGAGGCCTACTCAACCCCCAGGATTTCACAGACAAGATGGCCAATCTCCCAACTATTAGAATCAATAGCGTTCTAATCAGCAGTACGTACCAAGGGAAGAAGAATGGATTTCTGTACAAAATGCAATAAAAAATTTGGCTGTGTCCTGCAAAAGTCTGGAAAATCAACTAGCTCAGATCGCAAAACAGAATGCTGAAAGACCATCTGGAAGCCTACCAAGTGACACCATTGTCAACCCCAAGAGCAATGATCAAGAGCAAGCAAAGGCTATCTCTCTCAGAAGTGGAAAACAACTCAATCAGCCAAGTGAAAAAGTCACTCCCGTGAGTGACCTTGCAGGTAAGAATGAAACAACTTCTGAGAAAAGATCTGACAATGATCATTTGGTTGAACAGGAGCAACCTGAGGAGAAATCTGGAAAGGGAGAAGCCCAATTCCCAGAACCAAGTCAAAAGCCACATGATGCAATACCGCCATATCCAGTAAGACAAAAGAAGGCCAGGATGGATAAAGGACTCAACAGGTTTATTCAAAATTTTGAAAGCATACATATTAATGTACCACTTGTTGATGCACTTAAACAAATGCCTAAATACATCAAGTACTTGAAAATCTGGTGGCTAATAAACCACAAGTGCACGACTCTGCTTTTGTTACTCTAAATGAAGAATGTAGTGCAGCTATTCTGAGAAAATTGCCACCTAAGCTAAAAGATCCGGGTAGTTTCACTCTTCCTTGCACGGTAGGAATCAGAGAATTTTCAAAAGCATTACTAGATCTTGGTGCAAGCATAAATCTCATGCCATTGTCTATATTTAAATCACTTGATCTGGACAAATTTCTGGTACCTACTAACATGACATTGCAGTTGGCAGATAGGTCAATGACCTATCCAAAGGGAATTTTACATGATGTTCTTGTAAAGGTTGGGAATTTCGTTTAGCCAGCGGACTTTGTGGTTTTGGACATGGAAGAGGACAGGGATGTGCCCATCATCTTGGGGACACCTTTTCTGGCAACAAGTGATACAATCATTAATGTGAAAAAGGGAGAAATCACACTGCACTTTGATTGAGAGATGGTTACCTTCAACATCTTCAAAAACATGAGATATCCTACTGAAGTCCATAACTGCTACATGGTAAGAAGTGTAGAAGTAGAAGAAGCAGTGAAAGAAGAAATGCTACAAGATGAGCTCCTCAAGGAACTCTTATGCCCAGATAGTAATGAGGAACAGGAAGGAGGGGATGAGTACAGGCTCACTTGCCTGAGTTACCTGAACCACTCTCCCAAGTGACATCCTAAACAACAACCCTTTGAACTGTTAGACCTGACTAAGGAAGGGAGATACCTCAAACCTTCAATTGAAGAACCACCTCATCTGGAACTTAATCCTCTGCCTTCACATTTGAAGTACGCCTATATTGGAGCAAGTAACACCTTACCTGTGATTATTTTTTCTATGCTTACAGGTACTGAAGAGGATAAGCTGCTAAGAGTGCTGAGGTTGCACAAGGAAGCCATTGAATGGTCAATTGAGACATTAAGGGCATCAGTCCTTCCATATGTATGCACAAGATTCTACTTGAAGACGATGCCAAGCCAACCATTGAAGCACAAAGAAGGCTCAACCCAGTCATGAAGGAAGTGGTAAAAAAGGAGATTATTAAGCTGCTGGACGCTGGAATCATCTTCCCAATATCTGACAGGGTGGGTGAGTCCAGTGCAGTGCATGCCCAAGAAAGGAGGAATCACAGTGATAAAGAATGATCTCCAGGAGCTGATCCCTACAAGGCTGAACAATTCATGGAGAGTGTGCATGGACTACAGAAAGCTTAATAAAGCTACCAGAAAGGACCACTTCCCACTTCCCTTTATCGATCAAATGCTAGATAGATTGGCTGGATTCATGTATTACTGTTTCCTTGATGTTTTCTCAGGTTACAACTAGATTGCCATAGATCCTGATGATCAAGAAAAGACGACGTTCACCTGCCCCTATGACACATTTGCCTTTAAGAGAATGCCATTTGGACTGTGCAATGCACCTGCAACATTTCAAAGGTGTATGATGGCCATTTTCTCTGATATGGTAGAAGACATAATTGAGATCTTTATGGACGACTTCTCGGTTTTTGGTAAGTCGTTTGGTGCATGTCTGGACAACCTTGGACTGATACTAAAGAGATGCATAGAAGCCAACTTAGTCCTCAACTGGGAGAAGTGCCATTTTATGGTAACTAAGGGGATTATCTTGGGAGATAAGATCTCACAGGAAGGAATCGAAGTGGACAAGGCAAAGATTGAAGTCATAGAAAGGCTCAGCCCACCAACCACAGTCAAGGGAGTAAGGAGTTTCCTAGGCATGCCGGCTTTTACAGGAGGTTCATTAAGGATTTTTCAAAAATCTCTAAACCATTGTGCAACTTGCTTGAAAAAGACACTGCTTTTATTTTTTATGAATCCTATCTAAATGCATTTACTGAACTGAAAAAGAAACTCATCTCTGCACCTGTAATCATCACACCTGATTGGTCACAGCCTTTTGAACTAATGTGTGATGCTAGTGATTTTTCAGTTGGTGATTTACTTGGACAGAGAAGGAATAAGGTGTTGCATGTGGTTTACTATGCTAGTAAAACTCTCAACTCTGCACAAATCAACTACACCTCTACAGAGAAGGAAATGCTGGCAATTGTGTTTGCATTCGAAAAATTCAGAGCTTAGTTGCTAGGAATGAAAGTTATAGTCTACACAGACCATGCTGCCATCAGGTACTTGATCAATAAAAAAGAATCTAAGCCCAAGTTGATTCGATGGGTGTTATTGTTACCGGAATTTGATTTGGAGATAAGAGACAGAAAGGGTGCTGAAAATCAGGTAGCAAACCATCTGTCGAGACTTGAAGAGATCCCAGAAGATACAACTCCAATTTCAGAAAAATTCCCTGATGAGTCACTTTGGCGAGTGACAGGCACACTCATGGGAGTGACAGGTAACAGGCCTTGGTTTGCAGATTATGCTAACTTTGTTGCTGCTGGTATTATTCCTCCAGATTTCACCCCTCAACAGCGCAAAAGGTTCCTTCATGATGCTCAACTCTACCTATGGATGAAACCTACCTATTCAAAAGATGTGCAGACCAATTGATCAGAAGGTGTATTCCAGAACCTGAGTTCACAGAAGTGTTGCACAAATGCCACAGTTCTCCCTATGGTGGACATTTCAACGGTCAAAGAATGGCAATCAAGGTTCTGCAAGCTGGATTGTATTGGCCATCTCTGTGCAGAGATGCACGTGAATTTGTCAAAAGCTGTGACAGATGCCAAAGGACAGGAAATATTTCTTGGAAGAATGAGATGCCACAACAGAACATGCTTGAAGTAGAACTGTTTGATGTATGGGGGATAGATTTCAAGGCTCCTTTCGTGTCATCCTTTGAGAACTCCTACATCCTACTGGCAGTAGACTACGTTTCAAGGTGGATAGAAACCGTAGCTGCAAGAAACAGTGATGCTAAGATTGTTCTCAGGTTCTTAAAGAAAAATATTTTTGCCAGATTTGGTACACCTAGGATGATAATCAGTGATGAAGGATCACACTTTTGTAATAAGTCATTTGTAACCATGGTGAAGAAATATGGAATCAAGCATAGTGTATCAACACCATACCACCCACAATCAAACTGGCTAGCAGAAATGTCAAACAGGGAAGTGAAAAGAATCCTGGAAAAGGTTGTCAACTCTACCAGAAAGAATTGGTCCTTAAGGTTGGAAGCTTTATGGGCATACAGAACAACATATAAAACCCCCATTGGTATGTCCCCGTTCAAACTGGTCTATGGGAAAGCATGCCACTTGCCAGTAGAGTTGGAGCATAAGGCTTACTGGGCTATTAAGGAGCTGAATCTTGATCCAAGAAAAAGCAAGGAACTTAGATTGATGCAATTGAATGAGCTAGAAGAATTCAGACTGGAGGCATATGAATCATCCAGAGTATATAAAGAGAAAACTAAGGCTTACCATGATCAATACATTGTGAAGAAGGACAAGAAGTCTTAT